GCTCTGAGTTCAGAAAGAGTTTACAACCAACATTAAACTATACACAATTATAAGCATCCAAATTTAAAATGAGACCATAAACATTTTCCTTTGGAGAATGCACAGCTTGCAAAAATCAAAATAGAGAACAATAAATATATATTGAAGAACTACAAATAAAAGATTTTAGGAGCATAAAAAAGTCTTCATGATAGAACATATTCCATTTATTTTCAACTGGGAAAAAACTTCCTTATAAGGTACACTATGTCTTAACTATTTTTGTTATATGTGTGATCAACATTATCCTTAGTTGGATATCATTATTCACCTTTCCCCTCACAGACTCAAACATTTACAGCATCTCTTAGAAGTGAACATCAAAATTACATTTAAATACTAAAAGAGGCCCCTCATTCCTCATCTCCTCACAAATGTGTTCAAGTACATAACAAAAAGAAACATGATATTATCAATATGCCAAAGTTCTGAAGCACTATCATGCTGATCTGGTCATGGTGTAGGTTTCCATCTTAAATTTGGCAGGAAATGTTTGATTTCTTTCTGCTTACAGAGGCCATTTTATCAGCACTAGCAGTATTAAATAACGGAATAGGAGCAGTTAGCCCACTTGTGTAGAGCCTAGCTTTTGTGATGGATTTCAGAGGTAAGATATAAGGAGACAACCGTGAAGGTCATCTTTCTTTTCTTTCTTTCTTTCTTTTTTTTTTTTTTTTTTTTTTCCAGTTGTAGATGGACACAATACCTTTATTTTGTTTGTTTATTTATTTTTTTTAATGTGGTGCTAAGGATTGAACCCAGTGCCTCACACATGTTAGGCGAGCCCTCTACCACTGAGCCACAACCCCAGGCCCTGAAGGTCATTTTTCATAGGTGAAAATTTTTATTTAAACATTAGATGAACAATTAGGTCACTAGGTATAAAGCACTATTCCTAAATTTGCTTACTACTTTTAAATCTAATCTATGTCTCATTGCCCATCTTGACATTTTCTTTATTGAAAATAAGGTCAGGAGCCTAATACACAAAGAACATCCTTACAGAAACATTTCAGATAGGTACACATTGAAGAAAATGCTTTACTACCAAATTGGGATAACAATGTTGCTTTGCTCCAAGTGACCACTGTGAGTTAACTAGTTGTGACCAAAAGTAATGCCAGTGGCATAGAAGAATATTTCTTCTTCAAATGTAATTCTTTCTTCAACTTTTTAAAATTAGTATATACCATTTACTATTACCTGCTAATTGCTTCTATGTAGTAATGGCTATAATTAGTATATTTATGTTGATTCTGTATTTGAAACAGGTTTTATAAGTTTGTAAAAAGTAAATTAAAAGAGCTTCTGTGTAATACTAATGTGGAAAGCAATGGGTAAAATGGTCTGAAGAATCCTCTTCTGTTACATTTGATCTAAACAAGACTGTAATTTAAAGGTCAAATACCTCTAATTTTACCCCAAAATATAAACATAAACAAAATTTGGTTTATCCTGAGTGACTAATTGTAATTCCTTACAAATTCTTTTGAGTTGAGATATAGGGGATATTTCATTCTGCAATAAAGATTTTATTCTCTAATAGTCATATCAGAGAATAAAATCTATGGATAGCCTGTTAAGCACCTTCTGTAGATTTATAAATTTGTTATAGCTATACTTTTATGCCCTGCATTTGCATAGTCTACTGATCATAAGAATTCTAAAGAGATTTTAGAAGCAACACTAAATCTTCCTTTTGGTATAAAAACAAAAGTCACAAATAAAAGGCATTAAAATTTGGTTTAATACAGTTAACACTTCTGGGTTGCACACATAAAACTGAGTTAAGAGGGCAGATCCCAGGCTAAGTGTTTTTACTGCAATAAAACCAATTAAATATCTGCTTGGGATTTTAATAAAAAATTTGTTTTAAAACTTCTGATGTGTTTATTGTTATAATAAGAAAATGGTCTAATAATATGAGCCAAGACACTGAACTACTTAAATTTTCGTTTTACTTGCATATAGCTTAATGTTTAAAACAGGTTAAATCAATCAATCCATCATAGTTTCACATATTTCTTTAATAAACTATTAAAGAATTATATTACAAATGTTATATTATGTGTAATGTTTTCATAAATCTTATTTCCATTCAATCAATAAATATTCATTGAACATGTACAAAAACTAATGTACTTAATGTACCAGGCTTTCCCTATTCCTAGCATCTATGTGTCCAGAAAGCTTAATGTCTATAAATACATCTTATTAAAAATATATGTATATATGTATATATGTAAGTAGCCTGCTATTAAAGGTATATGATGGAGTAGGTATAGATTCAACTGAATCTCTAATTACTACCTCTAAAATACTGTATAACAATTAATGTCTGTAAAATTAAGATTCTGAATCACAGCTGGGCATGGTGGCACCCACCTCATAATCCCAGCTACATGGGAAGCTATAGCAGGAGAATCACAAGTCTGAAGCAGTCTGGGCAATTTAGCCAAACCCTACCTCAAAATTTAAAAAAATTTTTAAAAGGGCTAGCTAGACATGTTGTTCAGTAACAAAACAGTTGCCAAGCATGTGCGAGGCCCTAGGTTTAATCCTCAGTAATGCAAAAGAGAGGAGAAAAAAGATTCTGAATCTCCAAAAGCAATATAATCTAAATATGTTAACATATGATAATATTTAAAATTTGGCTAACTAAATATGGCACAAGTGATTTTTCTTTCTATAGACCTATGATGGATGGGGAATAGGAGGTAAACGCACACACACACACACACACACACAGAAGTATATCTATGTGTATGTATGCATAGATGAAGTTTTTATTCTTAGCAAAAATGTATAAACTATCTATAAAATTAATCATTCATAATATAAAATTGTATTTAATAAATCAGCAAGTAACAAACAAACTTCAGTTCCATAACATGGCTACTTAAGTAGCAGTAGCAGATAGTGGTAGGGAACTCTGGAAAGAGAGTAGAGAAAGAACAGGAAAGGGAAATAATGGAGGGAGGGTAGACAGCTGTGAGGGCAAGGGGTAGGAGGTGTTGGGGGGGTAGAGAAAGGGAAGGTAGACAGGTGTGAGGGTAAGGGGTGGGAGGCATTGGAAGGGGGGAGGAAAGGGAGACAGGATAAAAGAAACAATCTATGTTTCACTTATTTAAGTATTCATTATGACTCCTTGAAAAAAGATTCTTTCACCTTGCTCTTGACATTTGTCTATAATTTTCTGTTGTTAGTTCTAAAATATAAATTTGGAAATTTGGTGAATTATCCATTTGCAGTTATTCTTAGCACTGAGGTTCATATTGTATCCTATTTCAAATCCTATTACAACAAAAAGAAAATTGGATTCTTACCTATAGGAAAATTTGTCCATATATACACAGAGAAATAAGTATTGTAAAGGAAACACTTGTAAGAAATGATTAAAAATGTTTAACTTGCCATTAAAACATTGTAAATTAGACAAAGTCCATGCTGTAATTTTTACCCACACAGAAACTAGTAATAATATGTGTATTAGAAAAGAAACTTGAACTAACCAGAAATAAATATTCTTGATGTGAAGACTGCAATATATTTTCAGAAAAATAATCCTTATTCACAGCAATAAAATGAAGCATGAAAACAGACAACTAACTGCACCACTACAGAAACTCTCCACCAGAAACAATTTTACTTCTTTTCTTTGGCTTCTTGAGAAGGGTAATAGCACCTTCTTTAAGCACCTTCTGTAGAAGGGGACACTCTTTCTCAGAGGTGAGAGTGGGGAACTCTGCAAAACATTTGGTCCACATTACGTATCTAATTTTCACAAAGAGAGTTTCTCACAAGTTTGTAAGTAAGATAGGTGTGTGCTGATTACCTGATTAAATCAAAACTTAGAAATGTTAACTTTTAAATATTTTATCAGATAATATTAAGTAGAATATTTTATTAGCAAATATTTAAGCTGTCTTTACATTTACTTCTCTCTTGCCCCAAGATCTATGGACAAAATACTTCACCAAAAAACTCCGAATGTTTAGATTACTATTTCTAGTATTGCTTGATGAGAAGTAAAAAGGGTGAAGATAATCAGCAAAATCAAAAGTCCATTTTATAAATAAGCCAAGTCTGAAACTCAACACTGAAAAAAAATTATCACAGAAAATTTTATTTCTTCCATTTTTATTTCAAGTGTTGAGAATTTCCATGCATTTCTTTTTTAAAAATCTACATACCACTTATTATAGGACCCATAATTTTATAATGCTATTGGAAAATAACAAAACCACTATTTATCATTCGTTTTTATTTACTATGCATATAATTTATGGAAGTATTGATAACTGCAAGTAATGAAATGAATTATGAAATCAATTTAATGGACTGTGACTAGCATTTAAAAAAGGGAAATAGAGTTGGGCACAATGGCATATGCCTGTAATCCCAGTTGCTGGTGAGGCTGAAGCATGAGGATTGCAAGTTCAAGGTCAGCCTTGGCTATATATTAAGATCCTATCTGGAAACTTAAAAAATAAAAAAAAGGATCAGAGATGGAACTCACTGGTAGAATGCTCCTGGGTTCATCTCCAGTATGAGGAAAAATATAGAATGTAAAATATCAGTGTGTAGTAAGAATGATGCTGCTTTCTGAAATTTTTGCTTCAGTAACGTTTATATTCATAAATATTTATTCATTTGGTCATGCTTGATATTTTAATATAAAATGTTATGATAAGTAAGTGATAATATTATTGATAATACAATATTGGAAAGATAAATAATTTGCTGTGGGAATCCTGACTGTACTAATATTTTCTGCATAACTTTAGTGGATTTATTTATTAATGTAGTTAGTGTTTGTTCTCTGCCTCCACTTTGCATCCTGATATTATAACTAATCATAATCACAATTATTAGATTTCCAACTCAGATAAGTATGATTTTATAAAAGAAACAGTAGAATAAAGCTAAAGTCTAAAAATTTCCTATTAATATGCTCTTACCTGTTGGTAATCCTTTTCCTCTCAATCGGTCTCGAATAGCCTGGCTTCTATCAGGCTTTTGTTCACTGTTACGGGAAAGCTGGTCCGTCTGTATATAGGTAATCAAAAATCAAGTTTGACAAAACAATCTCCCTTTTATTTTCATGGTAATTGTCTACAGAATAACACTAATTAGACAATTCGAGATATTCTAGGTCTTTCAACTAAATGGACATATTGGCAAATGACAAATCTAAATCAATGCTCTTTTGAATCTCCTTTACAACAAAATGGGTAGTAGTCTCAAACATCAGTAATTTTAACCAAGGATATTTGTTTAAAATAAAGCATGTCAAATTAGTCAAACTCCACATTATGAAGAATGAAAAGCTAGAAATCGGTTTACTCAGATGAGCAAATAGAGAAGAAACATGGAGATAGAAAATGGAAGGAAAGAAAATGGTGAAGAAAAGTTACTTAAATTTAACACCATACCAAATGCTTATACACACACACACACACACACACACACCCCATATGAATGTTAATATTCCTCCAATTGTGAAATTTGTTTGATTATGAATTAAAAACCTATCTATAGTAATATTTTCAGGGATCTATTTCCTAACTATAAGAAGAATTACATGCAAATATTTCTGAAATAATATTATCCTTTAAATTGCATAAATCATGTTAATGCAGATTACACTGTGCTGTGACAGAAAAGACAGTGAACATTCTATATACTTGGGAATTCCTATGTTGAGGCAGCTATTAATAACAGCTGTTGTTAATTCAACAGGTACTATGTGCACTAGGCATTGCCTTAAGAGCTTTAAAATCTTTATAATTTAACAAAGATTCACAACCTTATATGGTAAATATTATTATCCCCATGTTACAGATAAATTGGGATAATTTTAAGAACCTTAAAGCAGCTCATTAACACTGAAATAATCATCTTCACAACTGTTCAGAGATAAGAGTGGATGGTAAGTGTTAAAATTCCTATCTTATCAATGAGAAAAATTGAGGTGAAAATATTGTAACATTGGAAGAACTAAAAGGAGGCCTGCTGGCTTACTATAATTCATCTTAAACTAATGCTATGCTATATTAATCTTAAATAGGAATTTGGTCACTTCCAGTGAATTTCACAGTAGTGAAAGACTGATTCTGTGAGTTACTGGAGGCAGTAACAGTTTCAGGGGAAGATAACAGCTAAAAGCATTGGCTTTGGGTCAGAGACCCAGGTTCCGATTATTTCTCTGTAATTTATTATACATGTGACCATGGGCAAGTTACACAATCCTTCCGAGTCTTAGTTTCATCATCATTAAAATGAGGATGAAAGTATCTCTAGGGTGGGTTTTCTTATGATGAAAAAATATGATAATGCATATAAAACATGCAGCACACCTGTGTGGCACAAAGTAAATACAGCTATTGAGTTATTCTGTGCAAGAGGTGAAGAACAATTGAAAGGTGGGGTATATTATAAAAGTTCCTAAAAATATGCCTTCATGTAAAGGCAGGTTCTCTACATGATGATTCCAAAGGACCCTCTCTTCTTTTCTCCCACTAAAACACTACTCAGCACACCTTGTACCAGACTTATTTCTATTCCCCCCTTTACACTACTCCTTCCCATTTCACATCATTTATCTAGGTTCATTGCTCTGCTGAGATTACTCTATCTAGCCTACAGAATCTACGTCAAAATGCTACTTCTTTCTAAGTGCTATATTTATTATAGTTTTGACTTATCTCCATTCCCCTCAGATCTCATAGTTTTAACTTATTTGGGGGGAATTATTGGGTATTAAATTCAGGGGCATTCAACCACTGAGCCACACATCTCCAGCCTTATTTTGTATTTTATTTAGAGATGGGGTCTTACTGAGTTGCTTAGTGCCTTGCTGAGACTGGCTTTGAACTTGTCATCCTTTGCCTCAGCCTCCAGAGCTGCTGGAATTACAGGTGTGTGCCACCACACCAGCTTAGTTTTAATATTTTTGTTGTTACTTTTCATAGCCTTGTTTGTATTTTATAATTAAACAAGTGGTTATAGCACTTAAGAGCCCCTAAATCAACTACTTGATTCAAAAACATATCTCTAATACAAGTTTCTAGTACAGGTTTCATAATTAGATAAGCAATAAATATTATAATAAACTGAATTAAATGCTAAACCTTCAAGGAATGGAGATCTTTTTTGTAACAGGCAATTATTGGATAAGGTAATAGAATTTCTATGGAGAAATACTTCTTCATGGGAAGACAGAAGAAAAAAATATTTTCAGTGATTTTACTATACAAGTAAAATCAGAAAAGAACACAAATATCTCATAGAAGGTGTGGTGTAATAAAAGATTCCCATACTGACTACTGTGAAACTGTTTGGGTCTCAATTTTCTCATCTATAAAGGGAAGTGATTTTATAGAATATCAGTATTATCAAAAGTTCTATTATAAAAAAACCTCCAGGAATAAAATAAGTTTGGGAAATATTTCATCTATATGCTTATTCTTGAAGGTTAGTAACACAGTGTAGCATATTAAAGACTGAGAAATTCAGCAATGAAAATACCTTTAATTTCCCTTATGCAGTTTTTTCTTAAGTTTATCTGATCATAGAAGAATTTTTAAAACAAAAATACATTTGTAACAATGTGGGAAATTTTGGTCTGGATAAAGGACTTTCATATATTTTTTGTAGCTTCACTTTTATTCACAAAAAAAAAAAAAAAAAAGGAACATGCAGAAATAAAACAGGAGCTAACCTAGTTAAAGAGGGGAAAAAAGGCAGCCAAGAAGGCCAATCATTCAGCCTTTACTATCTCCATTTCCCTCCACTACAGAAACACAAAAGTTTAATGGGAGATAGTTTATGAACTGCTTGTCTAGAAGATCTCTATTTCTCATCAGCTGGCAGAGTACATGGAATTTGGATATATCTTGTCAGCCACATAATGTCCTAGTTAAGATAAGGGAAATAAACATCTAGGGATGAAAAATTAAGCAGAAGCCAGGAAGAACACTGTGTGACAGCAACAAATTTGTAGCCCAAGTGAAGAAGAGACTACCACAGAGGGACCATAACACTAAATGGAAAGAGAAGATAAGAGTTTAGATACAAATCAGATGTCAGAGACCAAGGAGTATCCAAACTAGGGATAAAGGGATAGGAGAGAGTTAAGAGACACAGATCAGAAGTGGTATTATTAGATATAGAGTGTGTTGTTCTTAGGATTCCTCTGACCAAGACAAGAGAAAATGGGAACGTCCAAGTCTTAGGGCAGTATGACCATGATCAAGCATGGATCCTTTCCACTGTCCCTATGGCAAGGTCCAAAGAGGATGAGAAAGGCTGGGGAATACCTATGAGATCCAGACAAATGAGTGGACAAGAAAGAAATATAAAGAAGTAGGAAGAGCATTTAAATATTTCTAAAACCCACTTTGCATGTTAATGCTTTTCTATAGGTATTCACAATGGTAGAATCACTTTAAGGGCTCATTGGGAAAAAAATTAAGAAAGGAGGCAAGAACAGACATTTCCATCTCAAATATGTTATAATTCTATGATATTTTCTAGAATAAATTACTAGTAGTTTTCACAAAATGCAAGAGACCAAGTACCTGCAAAGGGCTTCTAAATTTAATATTATTTCAAGTAAACAACATTAGAATAAGAAATTCAACTTCCTATTCCTAATCTCCACTGAGAAAATGCTATCTATATAGTAACTTCAAAGAAAATTCTGTGATGTGCTACTAATTTTAAAATATGACTATATTGGTCAATTGGAACTGTAGCTTACCCCAGGAAGATTTCCCAGAACGAGTTTTACCAACTGTTTCACATAGGAAAATGAAGGTGCACAGTTGCTATTCCTAATGTGGGCACTGCAAGCATCCAGGACGGTCCGAACAGAAACTCGAGCATAAATAACATCCTCACACATTCCAAGCAGTATGCTATTGAGATGATCTCCAAGCTTGATAGGCTAAAAATGAAGAAAGAAAAACATTTCTATAAATGTATGTAAATCCTCTAATATGAGAAAAGCCATTCTAGCAATTTCAGAAATCACAGCAAATGTACTTCACATACTTGGAGCAATGAGTTCTTTCTCTATTAGTAAATATCTTGTTTGTTCTACCTTTTTCTATTATAAAACAAATTATTAACAAAATATGGTTAATATACATCTTCCCTGATAGGAAGTATTACAGAGAACCTGTTATCTTTTTTGGTAAACAAGTGGAATTCTTCAGTTATTCAAATATTTTGAAAACAGTTCTTATATATACATGCCATTTGTGTGGAACAAACTATTTTCTAAAATATTTCTAATATTTTATAATTATATGAATATAATTTGATGTTTCCACAATAAGGTTGAAGATTTTCAGATGTTGCAATTACTGAAGATCATTTAAATACAAGTTATCATTATCTCATGAAACAGAGAAGCCAGACCATTTGATTATTTTTACTAGTTAACACAATTTGTGAAATATTATATCCAAATAGCCAATAAGCACATGAAAGGGTGGTCCACATCATTATTCACTAAGAAGTGTAAATAAAACCACCACAAAAAGTCATTACAGGGCTGGAGGTGCAGCTCAGTGGTACTGCCTGTGCTTGACATGTGGGAGACCCTGGGTTCAATCGGCAGCGCCATCAAAAAAAGAGACAGAGAAAGAAAGAGAGAGAAGAAAGAAAAAAATCTACTCACAAATAAATGAAAAGACTAATAATACAAAGGACTGGTAAGGATTAGAGCAACTGGAATTCTCATCGATTACTGATAGTCACTTTGTTTAAATAAATGTTTTCCCTATGACCATTTCACTTCCCATCTATTTAGGCATTATTTCATCCTGTAGGTCCCAGATTAGATGCATTTTCCTTTAAGATACTTGCCCTAACCCTTCAAGTCTAATCAGAAACCCCAACTCTATTTTTCCACAGCACCCTCCATTTCCCCTAACACAGCATTCACTACATCATGTTGTAATTAGCCAACTGTACCTTCTGATAGATTCCACAGGCCTGAATACCTATAGTACTAATGGCTAGTACAATGTCTGATACAACACACACACACACACACACTTAATAAGTACTTTTAAATTAATATGGAGTATTTCCAAAATGATTAAGAATTCTGATCATAAAGTATACATTTATCTTTCCTCTCTAACTTATTCATTATTGATATTTACTTCATTTCTAGTTATCAAAAAAGAATATAATGGTACAACCACTTTAAGGACTATGATCATATTTTATATATAAGTTCTAGGCATCTTCATAAACAACATTAATATTTCCAGTAGTAATCTCACTTTCTCATTTATATTTACAGAATTGAAACTGAGAAGAGAGAGAAAGTATATAGTATTTTTCATGCTATAAAATTAAATCAAACCAAGTTGAAGAATATCATTTATCTTTCATGAATTTTAAGATGTTCAAATTTTAGGGTAAAAGTCTAACATATTTGTTATTGCTAATATTTAATAATAAAACACACCTAGTTATTTTGGTTTTGGTGTCTAAATGCCTAAAATAAAACATAATTTTAAATATTGTATCTTAGCTTTCCTGAAATAAAGGAATTTCTAAATTTTTAATTACTACCTACTTCTATGTTTATATTGAATCTTCAGGAATCAGAATTATTTTAGAAAATAACAACTAGAAGTGGCCCAATAGTTATCAAAGTCCAAGACCTGAAAAAGTGTCAATATCTGTGTCTGCTGTTACAGATGTAGCTAAGTATGATTCTGCAGTGAGTAGAGAAAAAGTAATGAAGCTCTGTGTGCTATAGGCTGAGACAGAGCCAGAGCTACTTTCTATCCCCACCCCACCCTCCACTTTGTGGTACTAGGCTGAGCTATATATTCCCAGACATTTTTTTTTTTTTAATAATTCTTTCTTTTGAGACAGTCTTGCTTAACTTCCCAGGCTGATTCCAAACTTCTGATACTTCTGTACTTGAGCCTCCCAAGTACTCGAAATTAGAGACTCTACTTTTTGCATCAAAAGGGTACTACTATCAGGTCCCTGTGGTACACAGCTGTAATCCCAGCAACTTGGGAGGATGAGGCAGAAGGATGACAAGTTTGAGGCCAGCCTTGGCAACTTAGTGAGGCCCTAAATAAATTAGTGAGACCCAGTCTCAAAATTTAAAAAAACATTAAATGGGCTGGGATGTGGCTCAGTGGTTAAATCTGAGTTTAATCCCTGGTACCCACCCCCATCAAAAAAAGGATACTACTTTCAGTGTAAGAATGAATCAGCAAAGATATGTACAATTCCTCTTATCAGTCATTAAATTGGAAGAAATAAAATATACTCCCACTTTCTCTTGCTATGATTTCTGAAGAGGCTAATTCCATATCATGGACTAAATTGTTGAAACCTGGGTGGTAAATATTATAATTCTATAAATATTTTTAAAAAATAATTTTGTTTGTACTTATATTTGTTAGTTCATTATTGAAAGTATGACATTCTTCAACATAAATAAACAATACAGAAATGCTGTACAAATGTAAAAACTTGACTTACTTGGCTCTGAGGTACTTCATGATCAGCCCCCCAATACAATGTCATTCCAAGAGAATAAATATGGATCTAGGAATAGAATTTTTAAAATTATGGTGAAATAAAATAAAAAATACAGAAAGTGCTATATATTTTTTGTTCTAAAGAAATTATAACATGTAATTTGAGAAAAACATTTCACAGAAGGAAAAAAGTATGCATAAAAGTATGTGAGAGCTTAAAACAGAAAATAAGACTGGAAATTATTAAAACAGATGTTTTTTCTAATAATGAGTCCAGAGTTTCTTCATGCAAAGTCAAGCAAATATGAGCATATAGTCTTATATCCCTCTTCTTTTACAAAATTTAAAAGTTACTCAGCACCAAATTATATTGTTATACTGTGTGCATGTTCAAATATGTAATAATGAATTCCAGTATTAGTATAATCATAATGCATTTAGCAGCCTGCATTTTAAATTTACCAACAGAGACATTTCTATATCAATGATTGGAAATCGTATCTTTTTTTTTTATTGCTACACAGAATTTCATCATGTAAAATAGCATTATTTTATTCATCTGTTTTTAATGGTAAATAAGATTTTTACAAACTTTTGCTGTTATAAATAATGTTTCAACAGTCAGTCTTGTGATATGTCAATAGGTACATGCAGGTATTTCTCTTGAATTGACTCTGAAGTTATAAATAAAGTTTTGATATGCATATTGTCACATTCCCCTACAGAGAAGTTTGATAATTTTGCATTTCAACCAGCAACTCTTGTTTTCTCACAAAACTTTAGTATTTTTCTCACTATGGTTGTGTGGGGTTGTACAAGAAAAAGAAAGCAAGATTGAAAGGGTTTTCTTTTGTGTTGTTTGCCTCTAAAAGAATGGACATTGAGGGGGTAGCACATATTTTTACGCTGACAGGAATGATACAACAAGGAAAACCAGAATTGCAGGAGAGTAGAGATTGCTGGAGGGAAAGAAGTTGGAAGCTAATGCATGGATGAAGTGTTAACTTTACAGAGGAGCATGGATGGTCACCTGTAGTAAGAAGGCAGAGAAAATGGAGGTTTATATGGGCAAACTAATAATTGGATCCTGGGGAAAGTGTCTCTCAATTGCTGGTATTTTCTTCTGTGAGACAAAGAGCACAGTATCAGCTGAGATGGAAGATGGTTAAATATATAAGTAGCCATCTTTTCTTTTCCCCCAATTTCATTATTTTCTTGCCTTTACTTCACTCTGTTCCTATTTTCTTTTTTTTTTTTTTAATGTGATGGGTTAATTTATTTATCTTTATTATTTATTTGTTCTCAATGGAGATTGAGTCTAACAGTCATAGGAAGTCATGCAAAAGGAACAGATGACCTCATCCTAGGTCACAGGACTATCCCACATGTGTTGGCATACAGAAAATATCTCTACCCTCTAGTTGAAATTCCTTGCCCCCATTTCCAAACCTCCAGCTCCTACCTATTTCTTTCAATGCCTCATGTTCCCCAAAGTTTTCCCTGATCTTCTTAGTCCCATAGGCATGACAGAATTCATTGTATGCCAGTTAAAGGCACAGACTCTGAAATCAGATTCATTCTATTCACATCTCAACAATGCCACTTGGCAGCTGTGCCCTAGTCTCCTCATCTACAAAATAAGATATGTTTTGAAAAACCAACAATAAAAATTTAAAAATAAAAAAATAAATAAAAATTAAAAAGTCTGGGGATGTGGCTCAGTGGTAAAGCACCCCTGGTTTCAATCTCCAGTACCCTCCAAACAAAACAAAACAAAAAACTGGGAAGTAATTGCTCTTTGTTCCTATTTTCTTACCTTTATTTTTTAATACTATCGACTGTCTCAAATCCTCTTTAGAAACTGTTGAGATATATAAATAAAAATGGGTTCCACTTTTGAAGTATTTTCATTACTACCAATTTTCAGAAACCCAAGCTGTGACTTTCAAGTCTTACTGATCTGCCTCCACTTCCATGTTGCAGGCAGGTTTTCCTTGTCATCACGCCTTTTCCTATCACAATCTAAACACATCAGCATTACTAGATAATTCTATGATGAAAAAATACATCCTTTTCTTCCTCACCTTTTGTAAACTTTTTTTGTCCACCAAAAATATGTTTTCTTTTTCTTTGTTGATGACAGTTTTACCCATTATTGATAGGCCACAGATGTTTTCCACTATATATGTCATATAAATTCTTTTAAACAGGATAGGGTATTTTCTTTTAGATAACAGTTATGTTTTGTTTGTATTTCTGATGAAGCAGTTGTCTAATACTTTCTTGTATTATAGTTGGATTCTTTCTTGTCTTTCTTGAGGGAAAGAGTCTTTTGAACACATTCTTTTTTCTCTCTCCTTCTCATTTTTCTGGTATTGGAGATTAAGCCCAGGGATACTCTACCTCTGAGCCACATTCCCACCTCTTTCTGATTTTGAGACACATCTTGCTAAGTTGCCTCAAACTTGTGATCCTTCTGCCCCAGCCTCCAGAGTAGCTGGGAATATAGGCATGCACTACTGCTCCCAGCTTTTAACAAATCTTAGTATCTCTTTAGGTAACTAACACAGAACTTGTACATAGTAGATATTTAATACATACCTGCTAAATTAAATGTGCATGCAGTACATGATAGCATAATGCATTTGATCTGTATCAAACTTCTCTAGGTTTCATTTCAATGAGGCTTGTATGTTAATACTTTTGCAAAACAACTCTTACATGAAAAACACTTTTCACATATATGAAAAATACTTTCCTTAACATTAGCATAAAATAGTAATTGCATACTCAATTACATTAACTTTGATTTGTGAATTTTTTTTCAGATATGGCCAGTGCTTTAAGATTCTTTGTTATATTTACTTCTTAGTATGCCAAAAGAGTTACTACATGTTAATAGTTTTTATATATCTTCGTATGAAATTGACAAAAAAAATCCTCAAAACTAGGTTGTGAAATTGTGCGCTTGCTGATCACCAATGTATACAGTGTAATGGTTAATTGTACATGCCAACATGACTGTTCCATGAGATGCCTAGATACTTGATCAAACATTATTCTTGGTGTTTCTATAGAGGTATCTTGCATGAGATAAACATTAAATCAGTAGATTGAGTAAAGCAGATTGCCCTTCCTAACCTGAGTCGGCCTGTTCCAATCCTCTGAAAGCCTAAAAAGAACTAAAAAGCTTACTCTTGGAAGTGAGAATCTTTCCACCTGATTGCCTTCAAATTGGGACATCAACTTTTTCCTTCTTTGGACTTGACTGAAAAAGCTCTTCCTGAGCCTCAAGATTGCCAGTCTTTGGACTGAAACTTCCTCATCAGCCCTATGGTTTTCCAGCCTTTGAACTCAGCCTGAAGCTTCACCATCAGTTCTCCTGGGTATTCAATTCAGTTTACAGACTTGCCCTGAATATTTTGGGGTTTATCAGCTTGCATGTACATGGATACATGACATATGCATACACAAACACACATACTCTGTTTGTTGCGAGAACCCTTACCAATATATACAGATATGAAATCCTATATAGAGAAATACAATATGCTACTTTATTAGGATGACATTTTATGGGTTCCTTTCTTTTTGTTTTTGTTTATTTATTTATTTATTTATTTGTAATGGGGGTTTATTGAGAGTCACTGTACCACTGAACTACATCCCTAGCCTTTTTAATTTTGAGAAGGGTCTTAAAAAGTTGTCCAGGCTGGCCTCAAGCTATCAATCCTTCTGCCAAAGTCTCCAGAATAGCTGGGATTGCATGTGTGCACCACCACACTTAGCTATATTCCAAATTTTTAATAATATTTTCAAATCATTTAAATTTTGTTAAAGAAATAATTCCAGGTATGCCAGATCTTTGTTAAAATAATGATTAATAGCAACACATTTCTTACAGAATACAAATTAAAACGTTCTATTATTTATATTTATTATAAGCAACTTGTATAGTCAAATAGGGTAATACTTCCATACACATTATTAATAAACAGAATTTCTACTTTCGGTACAGCCTGAAAAGACACAAGCATACAGAAGAACACTTATGTCAAGGTGTAATTAAATTAACATGGTAATGCTTACATTACTAAGAGCTCTTACTTCATCTAGGTGCTATATAACAGCAGCAGATGGATACGGTATACTTAGAGACACTGTGAAGAATGGAGGGAAGTATCAGGGATTGAACTCAGGGGCACTTGACCACTGAGCCACATACCCAGCCCTATTTTGTGCTTTATTTTATTAGGGTTTCACTGAGTTGCTTAGTGCCTCGCTTTCACTGAGGCTAGCTTTGAACTCGAGATCCTCCTGCCTCAGCCTCCCAAGCTGCTGGGATTACAGGTTGGGCCACCACACCCGGCTCATCAGAGGTTTTTAAAACTAAGGTAGCCATGGCTTTACTGTAGTACAGTGGTTCTTATTTTTTCTGAGGTCACCAGACATGACGTTATGAGCATCCTCTCACAAAAATGTTCACATGCACAAAACTCAGTATGCCATTTCACTGGTTTGCAAACACCCTGAAGCTTGATTCTGATTCAGAAATCTCAAGGATTACATACTTTTCAAAAACACTATGCCTATTCCCAAAATTCTAATCACCCTCTGTCTTTTAAAAGTATTAATAAATGAATCATACAATGTACAAAATGAATGCATGCCGGTTAAATAACAATAAAAATGAATAACTGTCTATTATATCTATCCAGCTTAATAAAACAGTACCCAGTACATTTAAATGCCTTTATGACATGTTAACAATGACCAAGACTGTATATATTCTATAGTATACAAAGTCCTTTTCAAATACCTCATCTCATGTAATGAGAATTTTCTTAGGGCTAATGCCTAAAGCGTTGGCTCCACCTCATAGCTATTGTCTTCTCTCACTGGTTGTCTGTACCTCCCAAATTTCTTAAGTACTTCAAGGAAAACAAAGGATAAGCCTTTGCTGGATTTGCCCTAACATATACAATTGATGGCCCAAATCAAGGGGCTTTCCTCTCCCTTAATCACCATTTATTTCCTCCCCTCTCACACATATAAAAGGGAAATATTATTATAATTATCAATAGAAACATAAATGATTGCAATTCCTTCAGGTGGTAAGGAGGCAAAGTGTTAGAAATGTAAAATGTGCATACTTTTTAATGTGACAGTTTTACTATTAGGAAATTATTACATTATTCTTTACACTTACGCGGAATGATGTATGATAAAAGATGTTGATAGCAAATTCTGAATTTTCCAGAATTCCATATCTAAATTACCCACAGTCTGCTTTATAACACAAAATATATTTGCCCCCGCAAATTTTTTTCATAACTTTAAGAAAATTAGATCTTATTCTAAAGTCGATGGTATCACCATAGTTAGAATACATATTTCTACCACAAACTTTTCTTTCTTCTTTATTGTTCCATCAAATAGACTGTGAAACTGTCCATTTTGCCTCCACTGTATCCCTTTCATCCATCCACTTCTTTATGTTCTGAAGGCATTATAGTATTTGCAGTTATTTCCAGGTTATTAAAACTTTCCAATTAGATTTCCATGAAATCATGGACCACCCCAAGCTACCCACTTTTGTTAAGCTTAACTCACAAAATCACAAATTCCATTATATAACAGTCTTAAAAAATATGATTCCTACTGCCTTAGAAGGAAGGCTCAAGCCCTGGCATTCAAAATCTTCCTCATGTTGACCTATAGTCTCCCTTTCTTTCTTTAACCACAGCCATCCAAACAGTTAATGATCTGGCCCACTTGGTCTGATCTACCATTCCCAGCCACAGTGGACAATGTATTGTCATAGTACACACTAATTGGAATGTCCTTTTTACCTGTTTTCACTTATAAAAATTCTCCTTGCTCTTTGTAGCCAAATGCTGCCTTTTCTGTAATATCATTCTACACTCAAAATTAACTGCTTTTCTTGCAAACTCTCAAAACACTTTATCCCCTCCATAGCATTTGTTTCAGCTTGCCATAGAATACAGATTCTTCTATACACATTAATCACAGCCCACTTTCTATTTATTTTTGTATTTTCCTGATGAGCAGTGTTTTCTACACAGAAGGTACTTAATAAATATTTATTAATATGAATTAATAATGGCTCACTTTTTAAAGTATTTTTTCTTAGATTCATAAATCTTTATAGAACTATTTTTAATTCTTAAGTAAAATAAATACAAACCTCTTGGAATAAATAATTAAAAATAAAATTCAATGGACTTTTTTCAGGGGGCTGAAGTAGGGTAGCCCATTTTCTTAAGTTGCCGTTCCCAAAACAAAGAACAAACAGAAACAACAAATATTTAACAGTTACCTTTTCAACATCTGAGAGAGAAGTTAACGATTGATTTTGAAGAACTTCTGGTGCAGTGAATGCTCGAAGATCCTGATTGGGAATGTTCTCATCTGTAAATGACACACTACCAGATGGCAGCAACAGTAGAGACCAGGGAGAAATGATGAAGCCAAGGGCAGCAGGATCTGTTAGGCTTACTGGTTTGTAATTGCATGAAATGAAAAGGAAAAAAAAAAAAAGGGTCATTGCTTAAAATTATAGTGAGAGAAACAAGAGATCACTTTAATGTACATTCCAGTCTATTAGTATAGATATGAATGTACAGTTACATATACCACATCAATGAGCTACAAAAAGAAAGTAGGCTTCACAGAAGTATAACTGCTACCATTGTTAATAATGCCTTGATGGGCTGAACCTTTCAAACTCTGGATGGCAGATTCTAGAAACTAAAAATAGAGAATTCTTATTACTAGGTAAAAGAATTATACTTGGTTCAAGTATTTTATTTAGTGATACACAGAAATGAATAAGAATCAAGAGTACTTTAATTTCTTTTTTCAAATCATGGATTCCTTTAAGAAATTGCCCTTGGCTCTCTCAAGGACTCTGCCCATAAATATAAGACTCTGTACAAAAATTGTACGGTTCATAGATCTGCTTATAGCCCATTTATAGACCCCAAATTAAGATTTCTTGATTTAGACTATAGGTCTTGAAATGGACAGAAATCAGTTTCTTTGAGAATTCCCCAGTTTTAGAATTAGTAATGTTTCCAACTCAATGAAAAACTTTTTCTGAGTAAAATGTATTTGCTTGAATTTGAATTTTGTCTTATTTGTATTCCTTCATAATTTTACTAGAATTTCTCGGGTAGCTTGTTTTGTATTATCAATGTGAGCAATGAAGTCTCTTAATTTTTTGTTTCTAATGTCTGCCGGTATAAATGCTTAAGAGCTGAATATTTAAGAATTTTTTGAAGCATTTATTTCTTAGAATGCGGCAGGTCTCCTTCTAAAAGTAATGCCAGACATCAAGCTCAACAAAACAAAATCATAAAAAGGAACTTAGTTTTGTCCTCCCAAATCAGAAGGAAGTTAATATAAGTTTTAAGATAAATTACCATAAAGAAGTCACAGAAGGCCTGTGACTACCAATTTCATTGTTCAATTTGAATGCATTATACTAATATCCCTCTACTTCAAATGATTAAAAACTGACAGAAATCCATGGAATAGTTTATCCAAGTATCTATGCTTTATAGAAAACAACATTTTTTTTTGTAGTACTGGGTATTGACCCCAAGGGTACTCTACCACTGAGTTACATCCCCAGCCCTGTCTCCCTAAGTTGCTGAGCCTAGTGTTGAACTTGTGATCCTCCTGTTTCAGCTTCAAGTATCTGGATTACAGGTGTGTGCACCAGGCTTGAAAACAACTTTTGAAAACTAAATTGTTCTTTGACTTAACTTCAACCTATGTTCAGGTCATCAGAATTTGACTTACATAAAAAAAATGAATTAAAAAAACTAATAAAATTCATTCCTCTTCTGAAGATTAAATGTCCCTGCATTTTTTTGAATATGAAATACATCTTTAATAACTCTGATTTAAAAAATATGCTTGAAAACACCTTTTAACTAGTAAGCACATCTTACACTGAGCTGATGCAGAGTTACAGATTAATAGTCCCCACAGCCTTAATTCACCATCCATCAGACTGTTGAAACATGGCTCACAATTCTTATGGCAAAATACATTTCAATATGTCATTGCAGATGGGAATTCTAGGTATATTGCTATCTTTCACAGCCACTCTGAACATTTTCTGCTAAATGCTGCTTCTTTGGTAGTTCATGAATAATCAACATACAACACAGCTAGAAAAGAACTCTAATGAGGCAGAGCTACTATTCAAAATCTTGAGATTTTTATATCAGAGACATTATAAAAAAACTAAAATTAATTCTTTTCAGATTATCCACTAAGGGGGAATGAACACTAAGAGACTAATTAGGAAGCCAAGGAACTAACATCTGGTACAAGATGATGACGGCCTGCAATCGGAGTGGTAGTAGTGGAGGTGGTGAGAATCCAACAGAAACTGAACATATTTTAAAGGTAGCGATAATAGAATTTTCCAACAGACTGAATGGGGAGCAAGAGAAAGACAGGAATCTGGATGACTCCAAGGTGTTGATCTGAGTAACTAGAACAGAGTACAATCAACTGAGAAGACAAGATGGAAATGACTATAGATAGTATGAGTTGCCAAAATGGGTACTGGGGTAGGAGTAGGAATTAGAATTTTACTTTGGGACTTAATAAAGTTAAGATATTTGTTAGATATTGAAATGGAGATGTCAAGTTGGCAGTTGGATCTAGAATGTGGGTTGAAAGTCAGGAATGGAGATATATTTTGGGAGTTCCTGGCTTAACAGATTTGAAGTCATATGACTGATCTCTAATAAAATGATTTAAGATAGAAAAGAACTGAAAATCAAGGATATTCCTTGGTATACTCCCAAGATGAAGACTGTTTCTTCTCAGTTTTTTATCTAGGTTCTTCCTTCTTTTGGGAATCCATGAAAGTATAGTGCTATAACTACCCGCAACACTTCATTCACTACTGACAATCTCCACTCACTATTTTAATTAGTTCTTCTATTAGCCTTTCTGTCCAGTTCCCCTGTACCTAGCCTTGGGCCTAAGTTAGGAGGGTAGGATTCTAACTCTCACATTCAATTCTTGATAGTCCTTATTTTGGGTATGACCCTTATAATTTCTTGCACACCTGTTACAGGAAATTACAAATTATAGTTTATAAGTTACAAATTATTGGGTATCACAGCTATCATAAAGGCTTGAATGTCACAGAAATCTAAACACTGTGTCCTATCTTACTACCCTGATGTTCACGTCCACAGAGGCTGAACAGTGTGGCTATACGTCCACACTCTCCTCCTCATCCTTGGCCACAGACAAACTCTATGTTCTTTCCAACATGAAAGTGTTGAAGGTGAAAGCAATCCACTATTGCTTATCACTCTGAAATGATTAAGAGATTTATTCACTTAACCAGCACAAGATCAGTATTATTATTACTCTAACAAAAAATTGCATAGCTCAACTAGTTTTATATAATACATTTGGGATTTTTGTTATTAAACACCTAATATGTATCATGATTCTAAGCACTCTATGTATTAATATAATGTTCATGACATTATAAGTCAATGCTAATAGAGTCTAAAGTGCTACTTGGGGATATAAAGTATGTACATAAACAAACATAAGATAGTATAAAGTAAGAAAGAAACAATACAAAAGGAAGTTTCAAGGATAGCAAAATTACTTCATCTACAATGGAGAGAATTTTCTTTCTTTCTTCCTTTCTGCACTACTCACCCCGCAGCCACCTCTTCCTCCTTCTAATAATACACGAGGCCCTTTCAGAGGGTTAACACTTGATCATGGCCAAGGGTAGAATTCCAAAGAGAAGAAGCAGCCAAAGCAAAGGCATGTGGTCAGGAAATTATTATGTTTGGGCAAGCCAAAATTTTAAGCAGAGAAGTGGTGGGCAGCAGTGAGAAACAGAATTACAAAGATGGGTCATAATTTGCCTTTTAAAAAACACACAGAAATGATACAAAGTTTTCAAATGTCTTGTAATAAAGCTAAAGAAACTGTGACCACAAAGTACATTGCTGTCAAATTTCCAAAGCACATACATGACATTTAAGTATTGGATTCTTCAGAAAATATAGTCAAACCACAAAATATATTTTAAAATAATTGTAAAGAGTTATATAAACCTACAAATCAGGGAATTTAGAGTTTGTGGTTAGAATTGGTCTTTAATCCACCTTCTTGACAACTAAAGGAAGGAATTTAAAGCAAATGTTTTCAAAATCTTTCACAGAATGCTAACAAAAGAATATTTTAAGATAAGAGTCCAGGATCTTATAATTTTATGTCCTGTGTTTTAGTTGTGTGCTGACTGCACTCAAGAATGCTATTATGAAAGACTAAATCTGATATGCACTGATTCCAGTAGTCAAGTGACTCTATTTAGAGACTTATACCAACATTCCCCAGAAAAAGCTCCTTAAAGAGAATTTCAAGTAGCTAGAGAGAAAGTTAGCAATAAGCAGAAATTTGATATGCAGAGAAGCTTGTTGTTGTTGTTGGAGGTACCTGGGGATTGAACCCAGTGGCTCTCTACCATTGAACTACACCTTCAAAAAACATCAAAACTATTTTTTTTTAGTTATAGAGGGACACAATATCACTATTTTGTTTATTTATTTATTCTTATGTGGTGCTGAGGATTGAACCCAGTGCCTCACATGTGCAAGGCAAGCGCTCTGCCACTGAGCTACAACCCCAGACCCTTGAAACTATTCTAAACTTTTCTCCCATCCTCATTTGTACATTAAATTATACCAGGTGATTGATCTGAAATATATATTCATATGCAATATGAACTGAATTTTTGAGAGGATTCTGTATTATAGAATTCTTCCCTGCCTCCATTTTTAAAAAATATATATTTATTATTTGAGGCAGTGTCTCCCTAAATAACGTAGGCTGGTCTCAAGCTTGTGATCCTCCTGCCTCTGCCTCCATGTTTTCTTAAACTTAAAATCTATGGACCACTTAACATTCATATTCTTCTCCTGAGGAATCTTGTCATTTCCTTTAGTTCCCTTCTTAATTTTTATGACCCCATTTGTTGTATAAAAATTTAGGAAAATAGTCATAACTGGGAAACAAACATAGCAAAGGAACAACAGTCAAAATTATCAGGAAATAATGTAAAGACTTAGAACATCAACAGCACGATTTCAACCTGAAAAATCCCTTTGTTTGCCTATTCAAGCACAAGTAAAGAATTGTCATCCTCCTATTATATACATTCTATGAGAGTAACTGGCAAAAATCTGTGCAAAAGCCTTTGTTCCAAACCCTGAAGGACTGGATGAAGTCACTCTATAATACAAAATTCTCTCAAAAATTCAATTCATATGTGCATATGAATATACATGGTAAATCTCAATCACTTGCTATAATTTATTGTACAAACAAGAAAAGGGTGTAGAATAGTTCCCCTGTATTTTAATATTTTTGATATTACTGTTTTGTGATAAATTATGTAAGATTCATTGAATTAATTAATTCCTCCTAAGTTTTGTTAC